TTAATGTAATTTTTCTCCCTAAGAACACACAGGAACTTATTTGTTGCAAGCAAGCCAGCCACTTGCTAGAGAGATAAAACCATTTTGAACGGATCAAGATGTTTACAAACTCATCACAAAGCAAAAAACAGACTCCTCTTGATGAATAAAAAAAAACGGGGAAAAAAAAAAAGGCAAGGCAGAAAGGGAGGCTGAGTCACAAAGCTACACAAATAGACAGTACAACGGGTGTACCCAAAAATGTACCTGTGTGCATGTGCTTGCCAGAGCAAGTTTCTAATCCTGGAACAAAACATCTGATTTAGCTGGTTTAAAGAAAAGAGAAACACGCAAGGACACTGATTCCACAAGGATATGTGACACACTACACATACACATCTAGCTTCTTTGGCATCAGATGTCTTCAAAGCTGAGAAAACTGTTTGAATTGGTTTATGCTCAGGCACACAGCTTGATGATTCAGTTAAGTAATTCACTATCAAAAGTAATTTTTGCCATTATATGATATGAGCAAGTAGTGAAATGACCATACCAGGATATCATGGGTCAACTACAGTCGTTAGCAAAAATACAGAGAAACTGAATTCTACATTCTCTCTCTTTCTTCCTTCTACAGAAGAAAAAATATTCAGAAAATGATGTAATACTGTAATGTGTAGTTTCGCCAAGTAAAAATAAAAATATAAAATAATGTAATGCCTGTCATTTAATTTTTGGAGACAACTAATCTCAAATGGGAAGTCAACAAAAGAAACATTAGAGTCTTATGTTTAAGTAAACTTCAGTCAAATATAAAAAAACTTGATGTTTGTTAGGTCAGGGCCAAGTTTTCTTTCTAAACAGCTGAAAAATCTATAGCAAACATTTACTTTTTCATATATCTAAGTCAATTTGAAATGAATGTCTTTTAATATGTTTTGCTTATCCACTGTTACTGATCATGTCAGCAAGTTCCCAAATGCCCTGAATTTACCATCTGAAGTACAAAAGAAAAGAGCAGATCAAAAAGCACAGTAACTCAGGCTGCAGGTTTACTTCCTCATTTTTTGCTTTTAATTTACAAAGGAAAGATTAAGGTTATTTGTGGAGTATAGACTTATGCCCAGATTTGACAAAGCAAAAAAAAAATATTACAATCCCAGTATTTCAATATTGCAGCTGGAATTCTGTATTTGGAGCTATTGTCAGTCAGATATCGAAATATGTGCACCTTTTCAACATGTTAGAAATGGCAAATATTCACAAAACTGTATTTACAGATGGTGGGCTTTGAACCCCTTTTCAGACTGTAGCCTTGAACCATAAAATTTCAAAATGAGACCATGTATTTTGCCAAAACACCTCACAGTGTCACACTATAGAAGACCTGAAACTGGATGGAAGGGACAGCTCAGTGAAGACAGACACACATTAAACAGTAAGACAAAACGTACAGTTACACTTGAAATATCAATTATACCATAACTGTATACACTGAATTCTGAGAGATAAAGTGAAGGAGTGAGAATGTTTTGTATCAAAGCAAAATGGGTCATTACCTTAAAGTATTTTTATACCACTCATTCTGCATAACACAGCTTATGTGCCAGAAATGAAGGACACAGTTCACAAAACTTGCAGTAACAATTTCTCTAAACCTGCATATATGACTACTAAATTTTTTTTTGTAACAGGAGTAAAATGCCAAGAATATTTCTTTTTGTGAAAATCAGGTACTTGGCAATAATCTAGAAATTCAATGTCTATGGAGCAGAAATATTTTAATATTTGCTCAGGTCTAATTCAATCTCTATCACAGTAAGTGTAGCCTTTCAAAAGACTTAGTAGGAACACAACAGGATCCATATGCAGCTTTCAGATGTAAAAGCTTTTTGAAACACATCTGGAGAAAGAAGCATTTGAAGGACCAATATCCTGCATTACCCTGCACTTGAAAATATATATCTGTTTTTTGGCTCAAATCCTCACACTAGAATGCCCCTTGTAAGCCAGTACAAATGCATTTTACCTGCATGCATATTAAATTAAATCATAACAATCTGTATTTATTGCTTTACTGCAGTAGGGGTGACAGGACCTCCACAGTAAAGATTGGAGTGGACCAATTTAGGAAGCAATCATAGCTGGAAAAATCTCAGATGACCATTGTAATGGAAAAACTGAATGGCAAAACAAATATAATTTATGTTATCAATGAATATGTGGGTACATTGTTTTAAAATCCATGGTCATCATCTTAATTATGTAAGCAGTACCAATTGGACATAACTGAGTGTCTCAATATTGTGATCTCCTCAGACATAAAGAACCACCAGTCAGTTGAACTACTTGTTTTCCAAGTACTAAAGCCACAAGGACAGCAGCCCAGAAACAGGACTCTGAATTTAGCAAAGAGCTCATTACAGTAGATTAATAAGGCACCTACACATTTTACTTTCCACCTCCCCATGTAGTGGGAGAAATACTGGTTTCTGGAAAGGCCAGACATTATTTTTCCCAACTGCATTATGTTGAAATCTATTTTGAGAAACTTTACTATATTCACACTTAGAGAAAAGTAAGAGTATATTTTACTATTCCTTTCTCTGTAATATTTATGCATATTTGAAAGTGTTATCAATAACAATAAAAAAAAACAACAACCAGTCAAAACCAGTACTTCAGTTTCTGAGTGTCTGGGCTGATAAAACACTAAAAAAAACCTGATGACTTGAACTTCCATTTCTGCACACTAGAAATGCAAAACATACTGATCTATTAATTCTCTTACCTCCCTGTCAAAGCCATTTGAAACAGTGGATAATCAGATGTAGTATTAGACAATGGGACAGATGTGTACTACAGGATGGTAATAACAACTTTCACCACCTGATTTTCTCATTTAAAAAAAAAAGTTAAATACACTCACACAGGTTGGTCAGTACTACACAAACAGTGCACAACACAAAGCACTGACAGGAGGCTTGTTTACCACTTGTGGGAGTAGCAGTAAAATCCCAGTCTTAGACAAGACATCACTTTTGTGTCAAACACCAACACCGAATCAGAAAGAATCATACAATTAATAGCTTCCAGACTGATTCAAGTTTTATGTTGCTTTCTCAGTTTCACTAGCAAAGCAACGTTGTTAAAACAAGACTATCAAAATCAAGACAAAGATCTGCTGAGAGTGGAAGCTTAAATGTCAAGCTCCAACTCTGAGTAAGCAAGCATCCACTGTCATAATCACTAAAACTAGGCACACACTTAAGAGACGAGCCTGTGCAGGATGAGGGCACAAGTCTATAGCTACACACCAAAACAACTAGTATCTTCTCCTTCAGTATAAAGGACCTAAAACCACACGCTGAACTCATGCCTCATCACAGGCATGTGATGACACTCTTTACAATGCAGGTGCTGTATGTATGCACTGGAAGCTGCTACACACTAAAACCTTTGAAAATTTTGATTTTTTTAAAGTCTGAAATGGTTTTTTTCCACCTTTAAACATGTATCTAATTACAAATTTTATATATACACACACACACACGTATATACTTAAACTAGGGAAACCAGGAATAGAACTGCATTTAGAAGTATTTTAATAAAATTTGTATGCATCTATTGAATGGAGATATTTACAGTATAGCACTAAATCATAACCATATGGCCAGAATTATCAGTCACATACAAGTTCTTATGCTAGTTATCCTCTAAAAGTCTATAGGTGCTTTTTTTATACATTAAGCAGTAAGAAATTAATGTATTCATTTCACAGCGACAAAGCTGAGGTCCTTAGGTTAGCTAGCCTGAAACTGAATGACAAATTTAGTCAACAGTATCTAGGCCAATACTGCAATGTCAATATAGGTTTGTATTTGAGGCTTTATATTTTTCAACCAATTTTCAACTGTATATTTTGTGTTGCTAAGGAGAAAAATAAAAATTTTGTCTTATTCAAGTTTTACAATAGATTCATAGAATGGAAATGGAGGCCATCAGCCCAGCAGTCTAACCACAGGCAGGGTTCAAACATACCAAAATGACCCCTGGCTAATGTTTGTCTGACCTATTCTGTAAAAACTCATAGGGTGGAAAATCTAGTCTTCCTAGACAATCTGTTTTCCTACCTACATTGTCTTTGTTACAGTTGTTACACAAACAGACAGAGACAAGACACGTAAGAGTGGCAGATACAGGAATCTAACAGATCATTCTCAGGCTATCTTACTGTATCACAATATACTCCATGATCTTCATCCTGAAACATTCTAAAGTCCCTGGCATATTATGGGTTGCTCAGACCCACTACTTATTTACAGTCACCTTTGGGTTGTAACACAGCAAGTGTTTAAAAGTAGTTCAATGCTGCTTTGTGCAACACAAGAAAGATTATTCTATGGAATCTGGAGGAAAACAAAATGAAAGTAGGAAAACATAACTCCAGTATGGTGTTTAATCAGAATAGGAGATATTACCAGTAGTCTTTAAAGTTACAGTACTCTTGTTCACCTAAAGAGTTAAAAAATGACAGCAATTTGAAAGATGGTTCTCCAAGTGCTCTTAATGTATGTTGAGATAATGGGCACCAACTCAGAAAATACTATAATCTGATGAAGTGCCACCTGACTTGCTTCTGTATCCAAAGCATTCTTGGACTTAGACAAAAAGTAAAGAGTCTCAATTCTGTTAGGCTTGTGATGCACATCTGGCCTATGCCGGAAAGCAAGGTAAGAGTAGCTTCAGTGCTTTAACATGTTTAGCGTGTAGTCCAGGCAACATAAAAGAAAACAAACAATAAATAAAGAGGTATTTAAGTTCTTAAACTAGAGCTGGAGGAGAAGAGATGGGACTTCTCTTCAAGATGATACTCCCTCTCTCCCCCATTTCAAGAGATTAATGAAGATACTACAAGGGAAGCGAGGGAAAAGGAGACGTTTCTAAGACAAAGGAAGGAAATTAAGTACCTGTAATTTGTCAGAGACAAAGCAGAAAGTTTGTGTGCACATGCGAACAGGTTATGCTGTTAGCACATTCCAGTGATAAGTTATATACATCAAGACTATAAAAAGTATGTGGAAAAGACAAAAGCCTATTAGATCCCAGGAGCGAAAGGTAGAAGTTGATTGTGGGGTTTTCTCCCCGAGGGCGAGCAGAGTGTCAACAGTCTTTCGAATGTGACGAATATCCGACTGCAGGATGTCATACGGAGAGCAGAGGTCAGCCTATCCCGAAGGGCAGCCATTAGAACAGAAAAAAACAGTGCATAAAATTAAAAATAGAAAAATAGAAAGATAGTGATAAATTAATTATCAAATATTCTAGCATAAACATGTAGGAATAGTTTCATCCTAGCATCGTCTTAGCCACTAGACACCCCAGCTTTCTTTCATTTCCTTTAAATACTGGAGCTATCGTATTATAGAAAAATATTAAGATAGAAGAGCTCAGGCCTTCAAATCCTGCCAAAATTATGCCCAGGTTCACAAGGGCGAAGAGGTGTGTGTGATTCACTTATTCTAATGAGATCTGCACACCTTTGTCCATCTGGGCCATATTCAAATGCTTAAATGGAACCCATTGTCAAATCTAACTTACACAATAGCAAACAGTGGGTTAGAAAGCTGTTAAAAGCACAAGCAGAAGCAATATGAAGTCTCAAGAAAAAGTACCAAGAGAAATCCTTGTAAGTATGAAAAAGCTGTACCGTAATAAAGAATTGGAAACTTGATATTCAAATATCTTTCATGATAACCAGGGACTGATACTGAAAAAGTCAATGTAGCACTAATAATACTTAATTTTAATAAGGTTTCTAAACTGATGAATTTGACATTAAATTCCTTAGATAGCATTTAAAAAGTTATTAGCAGGTTAGATTCCCATATTTTTTTTGAAAGTGTCAGTGACTTCATGTAGCCATTTACTATAGACTAGCTATACAAAATGAAGTATAATAGGTAATAGTAATATCAATATGCATACACAATACTTAACATTAAAATCAAACCAAGCACCAACTAGTACTTTCAAAGCATAAACTACGATATACCATTTTACACTGCAAATGAAGCCCTATGATCAATAAAAATGGTAAATATTTACAGAATATTATTATATAAAGTAGAAAAGAGACTCCTTGTTTCAGAGCAACACTGTTTCTTCAGTAGCTTTTCAGTTTCACTTGCGTAATGAACTGATAGTGCACCCAATACATGAAGACACAGAAGTTCATATGCCTGTTAGCGCCACGTTTCAAGGTTTAGTTCTCATTACATTAAACTTTAAAATATTTACAATATTTACTTTATCCTGAAAAGTGACTAGTGAACCTGGAAGTAAAAAATGCCATTCATACACAAAGTAAAAAGTGATACTCTTTTTTTTTTTTGCTTGCCGTGTCTTCTAACAGCAGCTAAAAGGTACAAAATTTTAATTTCATTATTTAGGTCACCAAAAATATGCAGGGGAAAAAACCCCGCCTAACAACAACTGCCATTTTTACAGTCATATTTCAGAATTCTTTCAATTCAAAATTCTAGTGTGATAATAAACTTCAATACAAGTATTTGGCTTTTTCTAAAGGATGAAACGTAGAGAGAATCAAACATACTGGCCTGGTTTAAAAATAGGATAAGATTGATTAGTACTGTATTTGACAACATCTACATCCACAAGCTGCTCATCAGATAAATCAGTTTTAGGGCAAACTACTCACTCACGACTATCAACTATGTAACACATTGCACTTTTACCAAAGGCACCAATAAACTGAGCAAATGCTGGATTATTTTGGCATACAAGACTGAATTCCTAGTTGTTACAAATATACCCCAAAAATAAATCTCTAAGATACACTGAACTTAAATTTATATTTAAAAAAATGCCAGAACTTTAAGCCAAGGACTTTCAAGTAAAATTGTCAACTCTTGCCCTAACAGTGCCTCCTGCAGTCAAATGGAGAAGGAAATAATTTCAGAGTTAGAGAATAAGAGCTGGTAAAAGGTTGAATTTTTACAGAGATTGAAGAACTTGCTAACCAGAGATTAACATACTAAGCAGTATACAGGAAAGCCAAAGCATACAAAACCAGCCAGCACATGCAGAAGAAACTTCCTATGGGAACTGACCACCATGCTGTGCTTTAGGGAAATTCAGAGAAACCTGGGGAAGCCTCAGAAACGTCTAATAATTTTCTGCTTATTTTTGTGTTTTGTTACAGTGGATAAATTTGTTACATTCACACCTTATTAAATAAATTGTTTATATCATATGTATTTTAACTTCTGTATTGTAACTCTGGATTATAATAAAAGCTTTTCAGGACTGGTGAAAGTATTTCCACTTAAGTTACCAGAATTCTACAGAAGTTGTGAAATGAAAATACCAAACTGAAATACACTATCATGAAATAGTGAAGACATCTGTGACCCCCACCCAAAGCTTCAAAAAGAAAATACCAACAACCACTCACTCATAGTAAGCATCACCCTTCTCATTTAAGAGACTGAAATTATTACTGGTAAGAACTAAAAGGATAAATACACTTAATAATTACATTCATGGACAGACTTCTTACGTCTGTGAAGCTGCGTGATTACATCATACAGCTGCCCAAGTCATGCACGCAGAATAACCACAGTAAGACAGAAGTGCAATGACAGAAGCATAACCAGCTGTTGCTGTGCACAAGCCACCCTCATTCTACGTGCTCCTGCAGTGACTGTGAAAACAGAGAGCATTCAAAACCAACCTCCTCAGGTTTTATCGCTGGTAAAAAAAGCCAAGAGTAGATATGCAGAAGTGCACTTAAGAATGAAGTCTGTAGAGCAGATGTGCTATGCTCAAAATACAAATGAAAGGAACCTCAGAATTAGGCTCTCAGTACTCTTATGCAGCACACTAAGCCACTCCACACTGTAGGCCAAACAGTGTATGTCACCAAGCACAGAACCAAAGGGCAGAGAAAGGAGTCATACCTGATAAAACTTACTGCAACTTCATGGATGTCTCAGGATGAAACTATGGAGAAGTAACTGATTATGTGAACTGATCAGAAAACAAGAGTAAGTGGCAATGAAAACACCTTGCATTGAACTGAGAAACATGATTACCAGTTGGAACAACCAGTAGGAGGACAGAAGATAAAGCATTTGACACTCTCTGCTTCTTTCTTCTTTTACTTTGTTCTGCCAGGTTTAGCACACAAAAGCCTTCTGGTGGTTTTCTTTTTTCCTGTTTTACTTAATTAGCAATTCCTAGACTAAAACAACATACGTTGCTTTTTTGAATAATTTTGGCTGATGTTGCAACATACTGGAATTACTTTTCAGCAGAGGAGGTGAGATGCAGTAATAGTTCCTGTTTGCAGGGCTCAGAAGTCACAAGAAGCGGCACAGCTAAACCTTTCACAATCTGAATCTTCATATGAAAATTTGAGACCAAAAAAGCCATTTCTTACCATCACTCCTTTTAATTCAGTATGTGTAGATCAAGCAGGTGACAGGAAATGTGAGAGATAATGCAAAAGTCTCTCATTCCCTCTTGGAAAATAACTTGCCCCACTAAACCTTGCTGCACTGCTACTGACCTGCTGGAACACAGCAGCTCCATAAACCTGTCCTAACAACTGGCTGGGAAATATTTCATTTTATTGCTATTTTTTATCAACAGAAATTACCATTTTAGTATTATTCATTACAATTTCAGTCTATCTTTTCTTCAAGCTATTTGAAAATTTACCAGGTGTACCTGTGTTATGTGGGAAAAGCCTGTCTTTCCTTTTTTTTTTTTTTTTTTTTTAATAATGCTGCCTAATTTCTCTGACCTGAAGAGGCTAAATGCTAAAATGTGCTCAACTGACTAAACTATTAAGATATTGCATTACTGTAAATTGCAGGTAATAAAAACCAATCTGTGTCTCTGTAAAAAGATAAGTTCTGTCAACTGGCTCACACTGAAAATACCTTGCAGAATTTCTTTTTTTAACAAAATGCTTAGAAGGTCCTGCTTCTGATACACCACATTTGTTCATAATTGAGAATGAGAAGAAATGCAACCCAAAACTTCTAAGTTTTGCCTTTCACAGAATACATGGCATTTACAGCTTTGTTTTGGTCTCAGTCTCACTTTTTATGAAGCCCACCACAAATCAGTTATTTTTTCCTTTTGACAGGAGTATTTTTGAACATTAATGAAAGTGAATAAGGAAAAAAATACTCTATCATCAAAAATAATTACAAAAAATAACAGCTACCAAGAATAAAAACATCTAAGAAAAAAAGCTGAAGTTTAATTGTACTATTGATTTGCAGGTTAATATGGGAAATTCTATTTCTTTGCTGCTAGCATTAATACAGATTCTAATTTGGTAACAGACTAAGTTGAAGAAATATATAAATAAATAATCCTGTCTTTATTTACAGATATTGTTACTGGTTTTATAAAGGAGCAGTTGGAACCAAAATACTATCATAACTTTATGTACACACTCATGATAATAAATCAGACTCTCCTGATTATTTTCAAAACCTCTGAGATGTCACTTAGAAGTGTAAAACTGCATTAGAACTTGTACACTTGACACTTTGGACACCACACAAACTCAAAGAGTAATACATTTAAAAATAGCTTTAATTTTTTAAACCCAGAAAGTGCGAAAGGGAGGGTGTGATAAAGGTGGACAAGCATTATAGGTGGTGTCAGCAATAGCTCCATATGACATTAACAGCCTGTTCCACTGAATGGCACCATCAAAGTATTGAGTGCCATTCTGAAAAATGCAGGACAGGCACCCCTACTGATCACACACCTACTGCCACTTTCTTATTCAATCTGTATCAGCCAAAAACTAGAAGTTTTTATCATTCTACAGCTATCACAGAGGAGATTAGGCAATTTGACAGTTTTTAGTTAACAGTGTAAAATAGTCATCTTTTGTACTTTTCTAAATGACAAAGATTGTACCTTTCTGTCATACACCTCCTGAGGGGCACAGCAAAGACATTTTCCAAATCTTCATGCTTTCAGCTGCTTACCTGCCACCATCCCTTTCTAAACTCAGACAAAAATTTTGTTTTCTCTCAACAAATGATAATTTACAAAAATCTGATAGTCTGGAACAAAAAAAAAGGCTCTACAGGAAACATTAGTGGCAAAACTTGGACTCAAGTTGTTTGTCTGACAACCCTCTTGCTTTTGACCTCCTGGTGCAGTAAGAGCCTTGCTGTTTAGCTTCTTATTTAAGGGTCAGAACCATTCACTTAAAACATCCCTTTTGCTTATGACCCAACACAACCCTTCTGCATATGATCAGGAGCATCATATGGCCATTAACAGAGAGTGATTTTAACACGGTACCCATTGTACTGAAATTCTCATCTGGCAGCAATGGCTTTCTGACACCAGTTGGCACACGATTCCAGAATCATCTACATACAAGCTAATGAGACAAAGACATGTTCATGTTCCTGAATTTTGTATTTGCAATTCTTTGGTCAAGGCACCAACTCCTGATGCCTGTTATGACACATTTGGATAGGGATACCAAGTGCATTTCCCTA